CGCTGACTGCAGTTAGTAGGTATATATAAAATATGGTGTGCACATGCATTTTTTTTTTTTTCCAAGGGCTATCTCTCTCTCGTGCTCGGCTCAGGATGTAGCCGTGCCTGTCCGGCGTACCATATAGCGATGATGATGATGATGCGCACGAGAGGAAAGCTAAGTACGAACAGGGAAACAGGTTTTATTCCAAAGACTGCTGCATACTTATAACTCCTTTTTTTCTTCCCTTTTTCTTCGAAGGAACACACCACACATAGGATATATTCTGATATATACATCTACATTTTTCGCAGTTCTTTGTGCCCGTGTCGTTGATTTCGCTCGTTTAGTTGGACATACATAATTATATTATACACATACAAACAAATAAAAGATGTCCCGTGTTCCGCGTATCGACGCTAAAAAAATACGTTGCTCCCTCCGATTGACAATACAACAAGAGTTCGTTTTGCAAGGGTGCTCTCGTATACCTGCACGCTACCTTGTGTATATTAGGTGGGTTTTAGCGGCACGACTATTCGGAGCCGTTGTCTATATATATATACATAATATATTAAGGAGAGGAGGAACAATAGCAAGTGAAAAAAAAGAGGTGGCCTTCGGCGAACCGTGAACAGGACACTCTTCTTCTTCTGCGTAAGTATAGAGTTATCATCGCACGCTATAGTTTATACTTGGGTGCATTGTACCATCCATGAAACAATCGAGTTGCTCCAGACGTCGGGCAGACGCGGGCGCGAGAATAGGCGAAACAATGGACAATGGTGTAGTGACGGTAAAAAAAAAAAAAAAAAAAAAAAAAAAAAAAATACTCGAATTTCTCTAAAACCAAATGAATAAATAAAAGTTGTTCAAAGAAAAATAGAATACGGAAAAGCTGCGCTAATAGTGGTTCGTTGCGTCGCTCGAGGCTGAAACACTTGCCACAAATTATAAATATAGCCGCCGCGCGCGTGGGGGGTACACCCATGTATACATTATAAATACACAAAAACACAGCACCCATGCTCACATGTGCGTCCGCTCATATACATATATATATATATATATATATATATATATATACATGTACCGCATATTGTCATTATACGAGCATGCAACGTCGCTCCTCCAAGCTGCAGCTGTCGTCGTTTAAATGCTCTCGTTCGTGTATTGTCCCCCCCCCCCTGATGCAGCAACACCACCACGCCTGTGAATGAATTCGTGCCTTTTCGCCGAACAACCGAGCGATCAACGTTTCATTCAATACTCAATACATCGGTTTTAACATCTGTATGAGTAATAATTCCACGCAGCAATCCCAATAAAAAATAATTTCTTGGCATCTTGTGGCGTCGTTTTATACGACAAGTATGGCATGTAGGTGGGTGTACACATTGATTATATTGGTACTTATGCCGCTACAAAATTGTCGCGGCTTGTAAGTACAAGTATAAGGTATGTGACGTAAAGTACCTTGACGCACCCTCGTTTGTATATATTTATACGGTGGGCGTTTGATTGCGCGCGATCTGTACACTTGCAGGTGGAGGGGTCGGAATTAAAAGCAAGTGACTTTTAGGACAAAGTGTCTTGGAATCCGCATCAGCTCAACTTTCCTCGGAAGAAGAGGAGGATGAGTCCGCAGCTGCGTCACGTCTTTGGCTGCTCCCATAATGAGCCCGCGTTCCCGTTGGCAGCTCTCGCCTGAGCCCTTTTCTTGGCCCTCCTCCTCTCCGCGGAGCACTTGTTCCCGAAAAAGTTGACCTAGCTCCTCTCTCTCTCTCATCCTTTTTTTTTTTTTTTTTTTTTTTCTTTTTTAGCTTTTCCATATATATAATATATGCACCACCCGTACATTTATGTATAATAATATGTACACACACACGTTTAATTCATAAAAGAATTATCCCTTGTGCGGTGTGAATTTTCTCTCCACCTTCTGTATATTGACGCAACGCTGTGATTTTTTTTTTTTTTTTTTTTTATATACTTGGGTTTTCGGTATATACTACAGGGTTATGGCGACCACAGCGGAAGTAGTTTTATGGTGTTGTACGTGCGTGTATGGCCGAAACAATGCTCGTCGAAAGTGTAGCAATTGTAGCAAAGAGAGAGAGAGGGAACATTTTAAGCTCACGCGTTCGGAGGAAGTGCGAAGGTCACGTGTCGGTCGTTTCGCAATTAGACGGTTAAGTACGTAGTATTACGACCAAATCAATTCGACGGCACTCACGCGGCGACTGATTAAAAGTATACGTATATTTATATACGCCCCAGAGCGATGATACATAATATTATTATATACACAAAAAACATCATTTGCGCGTGACTGAATAAATAAATTTATACCACGACTTGCGGTAAGAGAAGCTTATCTAGGTGCTACAATCTGTGACTCATATTTTATACACCAGAGGAGAAGAAAATTCAAACGTCTCGAAGAGCGCGTCTCTCCACCACCAACACACTGAAAAAAAAAAAAAAAAAAAAATGTTCTTGGAATCAAGAGAAAATATTTAATATTTACTCAAATAGTTTCAAGCAAACAATCTCTTCTCAATATTTATATATGACATGAGAAAATACATATATCATCTCGCTTCAAGGGCACCATTTCCGGTATTGATATATATTTTTTCTCGATTCCATGAGAAATTTTTTCTCTTCTGTTCAGTGCATCCATCAATACCATGGACACTTACATATATATTTTTGCAAATCATTTAAAAGCGCGCGTGCCGACTGGGGTTATTTTCTGTTTTTGCACACGCCGCGCGTCGTGTAGTTTATTTTTCCAACCCATTCGTAGAGAGATCTACATAATATATAAGTACCTATACACACGGTGCGATTAAAAATAATACAATACTTAGTTACCGGAGGCAAAACCAATGGCTGCAAGTGGAAGCCTCATCGTGCATCGTAAAAATATGCTAAGTATATTCCGCTTAGTTATGATATTATTTCTTGCATTGTTGCGCCCCTCCCCCCCCCCCGAACAAAAGCGAGATATCCCATTATATAGTATATGAGTTTCGTGAACTTGAAACGCGTCGTAAGTATAATATACCTACTCATCGTCCTTTACGGTCGCGAATGCACATGCGTTTTGTTTGCGAAAGAACTCGCTGACTCGTGAGCGCGCGCAAGCAAAACAAAAAGAAACTTTTTCCTTTTTATTCCGATGAATGAAAGCGCACCAGAACCAAGATGTCTCGTGTTTACCTGTTGTTCGGTGCTTAGCTGCAGGTGCTCGTTATGTATAGGTACCTATTACGCGAGTGTGGCTTTTATTTTAAAAAAAAGCAACGAAAGGAAGACTTTGGTGATCAAAGAATCGGAGGGCAGCGCCAATAAGATTAAATAGCCCGAGAATAAGAGATGCGAAGAGAGAGAGCAAGGAATGAAGTTACCTTAATATAGGTATACAATGTCAACGAAGGGGTGATGAACAGCTGTGTGTTAGTGGATGGTGTTGGTGATGCAAGGGAGGACAGAGCGTGCTCCCGTTTTCTTTTTTTGTCATGGCATGGGTCGCAACACACATAGCGGCAAGAGAGCTCCAAAATCAATTGTTGCGCAATCCATGCAAAACGAAAATGCAATAATTTATGCGAGCACACACGATTTTTCGCCGCTTCGAGGTAAGGTATAAAAATGTACAGTCTTTTCTCTGTTTCTATCGGTTTCTATAGCAATAGGAATACCCCATAATAGACAGAGGGATAAAGAGGAATCCGATACGCGAGATCACTTCCACACGGTATTGAGGTGACGAAGCATCAGGAAGTTGAGATTACGTTATCGCGCGTGTTTATTTTAGACTTTCAAAATATGAGATGATAAATTGAAACAAAACAATAGAAACACTTGCGATCGAGTTGCGTTACGCAGGCCAAGCCGGGCTTGTGTATAGGTACTTACTGTGATTTTCATTTCCCTCCCAACGAGGAAAAAATAGTACGAACCTTACATACAGGGATGGCAGAGGCACCTTACGCACATAGGTATACACACACTCACGATACGGCCACTCCATATAGCACGCAATCCATATGACCGCGACTCCAAACAAAGGCGACTATATATATACTTGCATGTTACAGGTGCATTGTACGTAAAAATAGTTCTTGCAGGGATAAAAAACAAAGAAGTAGGCACGGCGTGGTGCGAATAAACTATACTAAAAAGTTGAAGAATAAATAAATAAAGAAGAAAAGAGGAGTGAAAGAAGGCAGAGAGAGGAGAGCGGAAACGTGTACACCCAGGTAAGTAAGTAAGCAAAAGTGCAATGCACTTGGGGGGTTCGTCTGACTGACCGCATTCGGCACCACTCGGTCGATTGGCATACTTGTATCTTGTATGTATACACCAGAGATCTTGCCTACATAATAAATGCACTCACATATAGAGCTTCTGTCAACAACGTCATCGCTTTTAAATCTTCTCTCCTCTCTGCATCCCTTATATTATACTACAAGTGATGAATTGATTTTTTTGCTATGCATGGAAAAATCAGTATATACAATTTTACATGCTGCTGCTGCTGCTTGTTACTTTACAATGTTGTTGTTGTTGTTATTCTTAGGTATGTGCCATATATTACACAGGATGTCGCTATCTATATTTACGTGGACTATGTATATGTGCATTTAAACGGGGGAGACAACGAGAGAAGAGCATATCAGAAGCACAGTTGTATACATAGATAGGTATTATACTTATATGAAATATAGGGACGCAGACGCAAGTCGGGTGAATGAGAAGAAAAGAAAAAAGTAAGTATAAAGTGAAGGTGCAGACGACCTCGAAAAAGAGATCCTCTCTCCCTCGCGCACACGCACAGCTTCCTATATTTTTCTCTAATCCTTTCTCGCTCTTTCTCTCTCTCTCTCTCTCTCTCGACTTTTATCTTTCTGAAAACGAAGGCTGTAGGTATATATCATCGAGTCCCGCTATATAATTCCTTGTGCGTCCTGGTGGCACCCAAGAGTAAAAAAAAAAAAAAGGCTCACCTTCCGGATAGGCCTGCTTGTCCTGGACAAAGTCGATGAACATGTTGGTGATGTTGTAGAGCTGTTTCATGCCCTTGTGATGGTACTTGGTGTTGGAGCGATACGCAACACCGGTGTTGTTTACCACGGTGTAGTTGATCGGCTGGGCACCGATAGTCTCGTTGAGCCTGCGCTCCAGCTGACGTTGCCCGAGCTCGGTCGTCGTCGCCTCGGCCACCAGGAGCCCGAGGATCGCCACCAGCACCAGCGGCACAGCCATGGCCCAGCTGGTGCTGCTGCACCGCCCGCCGCACATCCTCGCTGTTGTTGCTGCTATATCCTCCTCCTCCTCCTGACCTTTCTTTTGTCTGCCAGTCTACTTATGTCGTACTATTTTTTTTTCTTCTCTTTTATTAACGTTAACGCACATTTACACACCACCACCAAGAGTAACAATAGGTTGTTCCACCCCCGCGCGAGACGACAACTATAACTGAAATAAAGCGGGGGAGGACGCACTTTCGATGCGCGACGAGAGGGTCAGGGGGTGGCGATTGTTGTTGTTGTCGTCTGGGACGCTGCCCGCCAGCGACTGGACCATCCAGAGTATCGAGACCACCACCACTGATGCTCTCGTTGGCAACGCAACTTCATGCACACAACGAAACGCGAAAGACGGAGATAGAACACGACGCCGTGTGGTGACCCCCTACATAGCGACCGACCGATGGCTTGGTTTCTTCGTTTCTTGGTTACAGCTAAGCTTGTGTATATACAGGATGCATAGATTATAGATACAATATGTCCTATAGATGAGATACAAGATGTCGATTCTGGCTATTATCTTTTTTGATATTCGTTGCTTGTACACAGTAAAAAAGCTTTACTAGCGAATTGTAAAAATTTACTAAATGAAATAATGCAAAAGTACAATTTTTTTTGCAAAATTACAAAAATTTTCGTAGTTGTACAAAATTTTTGTAATTTCACTAGATTTTATGTTGGACAGAACTGCGACCCATATTAAATGTAGTAAATATACAAGTCAGATTGTAGTCCATTTTACAACTTCCATAGTAATTTTAATACTGCGTAATAGTAAGGGTGAGATTACATGGAGTCTGGCAGTCTGCAGACTGGCAGAATCGCGCTAAGTTTAAATTATGTTTAAATTATAACATCTCAGAATAATTTAGTAAAATAAAGGAAAAATTGTAATTATTGTCAGAAAAGAATAAAGGCTTAGTTACAATCAACTTCAATTACAATAAAACGTGTAAAATATTATTTTATAACTTTTTTTATAGATTTATGTTAACATCGCACAGTCGGTCAGTAGGGTCACTGATGTAACCTGGTATGTTTAACAATATGTAACTGTGACAAAACGTTTTTCGTCGCCTTTTTTTTCATAAATATCAGTTAATACAGAAATGCAAATGTATTACGATAATTATTTCTTTGCTTACGTAACAGGTTTTAAATATTAGTATTGAAACATATTTTAAACTTAGTGCGATTCTGCCAGTCTGCAGACTGCCAGACTCCATGTAATCTCACCCTAAGTTTACAATCTTTTTGTAAAATGAGCTAATGGATACGTAAATGGATTTACGAATAAGATACACTATACAGTCGATACATAATACATAATATATATTTACGGAAATATAGTACATACAAGTGGAGTATCAAGCTCACTTGTATGTACCATAATTGCATGGCAAACGATTACATTATTACGCGTGGCGAACGCGCAAGGTCACGTAGCCCCTTTTTTGGTTCCTCATCGAGACTTATTTCGTAATATTTTCATCACACATTTCTGGATCGTGTTATTGACTAGTTCTCACAATTTATTTTATTTTTTTTATCTTCTTCTATTACGATTCGAACAACTACTATACCGATTAACTCGTTTCTTTTCTGAAAACAAAACAAATGCGAGTAAAAAAGAAAAATAGTACAATTAAATAAAAGGTGTGCATGGTCACTTTGATCAACAATCATTAACCGAGCGCGTATATGTTTTTTTACTTTACCAATACTAAAATATAATTTTAAAATTTTTAACGGGAATCAATGGGGATGAAAAATCCTGCAAATAAAAGAAATAAAATATTTGTGTTGTCCCCGAAAATGCAGTAAACGAGGATTGCATTGGAAGCCGCACCTGCAGCGGGAACCGATGCATCGATCCGTGTACCTACGCCTGCGGCACAAACGCGCTCTGCCAGACGATCAACCACATACCGGTGTGCAACTGTCCTCCAGGTCACACGGGCAATCCTCTGCACGATTGCGTCTACGACCCTGGCAAGTACATTTTTTTTTCTTTTATTTTTTTCTCAATGTTATAAACAACTACATACATTTACTCCCTGGCGTAAAAGTAAATTTCATGATGATTTCCCAAACAGAGGCGCCGTGCAAGAGCCCAAATCCTTGTGGGGCCAACACCAAGTGCGAAGTCAAGAACGGCGTGGCGGTGTGCTCTTGTTTGTCGGGATACCGAGAACGTCCTCTCGAGGGCTGCCGTCACGAGTGCGAGTCCGACTTTGACTGTCCCCAGCACCAGCACTGCTCGAAGGACTTTCGCTGCGAGAGCCCGTGCGCCTCCGTATGCGCCGAGAGCGCCGAGTGCAACGTCATCAACCACCGAGCCAACTGTGCCTGTCCCAAGGTCACCATCATCATCATCATACACATCTTTTAAACCACATATACATTACATACGTAAAATACATAACCATTAAATTTTTTTTTCTCATTCTTGCAGAATTGGCTGGGTAACCCGCTCATATCCTGCCAGCCCGAGTGCACCCAGCACTCCAACTGTCCTGCCGGCAAGCCTGCCTGCCTCTATCAGAAATGCGTCGATCCTTGCGAGGGCACCTGCGGCACCAACGCCAATTGCGAGCTCCGCGACGTAACGCCCGTCTGCAGTTGTCCCAGGGACAAAACTGGCGACCCCTTCGTTTTCTGTCGGCCCTTCACCGATGGTATAATATATACATACATACNAAAGAAAGACTTTTCAAACTCGTAGGAAAACTACCATTTTTCTTAAGAAATTATATACAAAATATACTTATAATAGAATTTCATAAAATAATCAAGTCTTGTTTTGAAGATGTATAAAGAAAGATATTTGATAGATGTCGCATATAACATATTGATAATGTACACCAACTACAAAATTTACTAATTTTTCTTATTTGCGGGCGGGAATGTACTTTCCGCCCGTGAAACAGGCACTGAAAGTACTTTCGGCCCTCACTTTCCGCCCGAAAGGAGGAAAAATATAATTTTAAAACTTTTAATGGGAATCAATGGGGATGAAAAATCCTGCAAATAAAAGAAATAAAATATTTGTGTTGTCCCCGAAAATGCAGTAAACGAGGATTGCATTGGAAGCCGCACCTGCAGCGGGAACCGATGCATCGATCCGTGTACCTACGCCTGCGGCACAAACGCGCTTTGCCAGACGATCAACCACATACCGGTGTGCAACTGTCCTCCAGGTCACACGGGCAATCCTCTGCACGATTGCGTTTACGACCCTGGCAAGTACATTTTTTTTTCTTTTCTTTTTTTCTCAATGTTATAAACAACTACATACATTTACTCCCTGGCGTAAAAGTAAATTTTGTGATGATATCCCAAACAGAGGCGCCGTGCAAGAGCCCAAATCCTTGTGGGGCCAACACCAAGTGCGAAGTCAAGAACGGCGTGGCGGTGTGCTCTTGATTGTCGGGATACCGAGGGCGTCCTCTCGAGGGCTGCCGTCACGAGTGCGAGTCCGACTTTGACTGTCCACAGCACCAGCACTGCTCGAAGGACTTTCGCTGCGAGAGCCCGTGCGCCTCCGTATGCGCCGAGAGCGCCGAGTGCAACGTCATCAACCACCGAGCCAACTGTGCCTGTCCCAAGGTCACCATCATCATCATCATACACATCTTTTAAACCACATATACATTACATACGTAAAATACATATCCATTGAATTTTTTTTTCTCATTCTTGCAGAATTGGCTGGGTAACCCGCTCATATCCTGCCAGCCCGAGTGCACCCAGCACTCCAACTGTCCTGCCGGCAAGCCTGCCTGCCTCTATCAGAAATGCGTCGATCCTTGCGAGGGCACCTGCGGTACCAACGCCAATTGCGAGCTCCGCGACGTAACGCCCGTCTGCAGTTGTCCCAAGGAAAAAACTGGCGACCCCTTCGTTTTCTGTCGGCCCTTCACCGATGGTATAATATATACATACATACGTGTATTAAATTAATATTAGCGCGTACATTATGAAAAATGCCCCCGATAACAACAATAACTCTTTTGGGCTACAATGTTCATTGACTTGCAGAGGACCCGTGCAGCGGGAATCCGTGCGGTACCAACGCCGAGTGCCGACCGGGCCATGACAACACGGGTAAGAAGCGCCCGGTGTGCAGGTGTCCCCACGGCTATGTTGGAAACGCGCTAATCAGGTACACGCGTGTATATATATATATATTGCATTGTATGCAATTTAATCTGATTTAAGTATATCTGAGAAAATATTGTGTGATGTATGACATATTATGTTATCAGCTGTAAGAGGGGCGAGTGCTTGTCCAACAACGAGTGCCCGGACAATCAGGCGTGCATCAACTTTGCCTGTCAGAACCCGTGCACGGGCCGTGAGTGCGGTTTAAATGCCAATTGTACACCTAGAAGACACATTGCAGTGTGCCAGTAAGTATTATTAATCATACTAAAAGAAATACACACTAAGTATCAAGAAGGTATAAAAAAAAAATACATTAAGAGTGATAAAATTTATGTAAATTATTCAATACGTGGGTATCAATGAATCGATAAAACAAAAAATTATCACTTATTTTTCAGGTGCGCCGAGGGTTACCCCGAGGGGACGCACTCTTCTCCTGCAATCCCATCGAGGGTGGCCGTGCAGCCAACTACTACGGTCGCTACGCGCGCTACTGATTCTTATTTTTATTCCGAGCAACTGTTTTTTTTTTTTTTTTTTTTTTTGGATATTAGGGTAGTTCCCACTATCTACTTGTGTTGTACATAAATAACGTGTTTGATCCCTTCCTGTTTTCCACCTGTTGCAGTATTTTTAAGTTATTTCTCTCAGCTTATGGAGGTGATTGACCTTTTTTTTGTATACAACCGCTTTTATAACTATTCTCATTGTTTGATATATACATATACACACGTATGTATTGAGCGTTTTACATTTGTGCCATTCTAGTCGAAATGTCGAATCGACGATTAAACGTTATTTATTTTGCACGCTAACTGATATGTATTACGAATTTGCTTAATTTATCACATAAATTGTAGATGAAAAATAAAACGATAAGTACGTAAAATTTTAATACAATAGCTATTGTTTTATTTTCTTGTGACTGTCTATTTATATTACATGGGATGACTATTTCGGATTTCATAGACTTCATGTACAAAAAAACGAAAGAGACAAAAGAATCTAGCATATGCCTTTTTTGATAAAAATTGTATGGTAAATTTCTACATGAACTAATTGATAAGATCTGAAATGCTGACGTTATTTTTATTTTCTTATACCGAATTTGAAAAGTAGCGTTCAAGGGATGCTTAATTCCAATAATACTAAATATCGTATTTTGTGGCCTGAAAAAAGTAAAGTACTGGTATTATCAGTGGCTTTGAATGTTGAGTGTCAAAAAAATTTATTTAACATGTGACGACAATTGATTGATATGTATTAAATTCCATGATCTTAACATGTTTTGTTTGCTTGATATGATATATGAGGTATGTATGAAAGGGAATTTAGGACTTGCTTAAAAATTACTAGACTCAAACCTTTATAAAACTATAATGATGTATTAATCAATTAATTACAAAAGTATATTACAATCTGCTTTCTCGTTTGGAAAGAAATAAAAAAAAACGAAAAACGACAAAATATCAACAGATTAAATGAAAAACATTCTATTGACACATCATTGTTCTTTGTTTTTCGCTTTTTTAGGCATTAAAAAACAGCTTCGCGGTTGAATTTTGGCCCAAGGTTTTTTTACATTGCCAGTATCAACTACCTCCAAGATACTCGTCGTTTCAACCCCATCGAAGCGAATTGGCGTTAGAAATCTGTAAAATTCATATGAATTTTACACATCAAACATTCTTTTTTTTTTTTACTTAGAGGAACTTACTTCTGTAATCCAGTCGGATGTGCAAATTTGAAAGTAGTCGTTTGACAAACATCTGAAAATAAAAGTTTCATTTTCTAATAATTCGATTCTTATTCACTTTTAATGTTGCGGTAAATATGTCTTTTTTGATCACAAACCTTCAGAGATAACCGGAACATCTTCAACTGTTTCGGGTAATGAAAATCTATAGTCTTCACTTTCAGTATGCTCGAGTTGATCACGTACTTTCTTAGCCTCATTATCAGTAACTGAAGAAGCATATTTTCTCTTTCTTGTTTGCTTCATGGATATTAGCTCTTCGGGGTTGACTTCCTTGATGATCATTTTAGAGAGTAAACTGCGTGTTACACGCCTACCTTCAGGCACACTCACGATTGGATCGACACTAGTCGCTCTGCGACCTCGACCTGCCGTATTCCTTTTTTCCGCTTTACTCTTCGACTTTACAGTTCTTGTGTCAATTAAAATTTTTTCTATGTCTCCCGGTTCTGACTGGACAGAGCACTTACGCCTGCGAATCTTGGGCTTTGAACTAGAAGGTCTCGTAGTCTGGATTGCTCGTATAATTTCTGCCCTGGCTGGTGGGTTTCTTAAATTGGTGATATTTTTACTGGTTTCCTTTGCCAGTGACGAGGCTCGCGTCTTCCTCAAACATCGTTTATTATCTTCTTTTGCTGTGAGTGTAGCCTGATCATTTTCCTGGACTACCGAACCTGCTCTTTTTTTTCTGGTGGTGGTTGATTGTTGTTCATTTTTCGATGCGGCCCTGGCTCTGGTTGGTCTTATTTTTGACAATCCTTTTTTATCATTGTCTACAGACTCAGCTATTCTACTTCGAGTGTGAGACATTTGCAGATCATCGTTGGCAGGTACTGATTCAGTAGATGTGATTTGTTCGTCACCCTTGGATATCCATCCGGCCTTTGAGCGTTTGTCAGCAACTTTCGAAGTATTTTTTTTTAATTTAGATGCTCTCGACGACCGCACTGTAGATACTTGTTGTTCTTCAGCCATTTCGTGAATTTCCAAATCAACATTTTTTTTAGCAACAGATGCAACTCTAGTTTCCCTAGTGGGTTTCACTGTAGGGGCTACATTCTTGGTAGAAGATCCAGCTCTCCTCGTGCGTATTGTTGTAGTTGATTTTGATGACTCTGATAAGTTAATTACTTTTTTGGGTCGTCCCCGAGTTCGTTTTGTAAGAGTGGATTTGCTAAAATATTCTTCCTCACAATGATCTGTCGGCTCCATAAGTGGGTTGTTTGGTAAAGTCAACATGTTGCTATCTTTTTCAGGTTCTTTAACATCAGACGATGATGAGACTTTTTCGATAAATATGTTTGGAACATCGGATGTTTTTTTTACATGTTCCAATATTTTTTCCATTCCCCCTGGCAATGACGTACTTTGGTTTATTCGGTCTGTAAATATTGAAGGCATTATAAAATAGGTTTGAGGTTGCCGTGAAGTTGTTCCCACGGGGTTTTCTACATTACCAGTATGATCTAGCTCCAAGACACTCATTATCTCATCCCCATCGAAGCGAATTGGCGTTAGAAATCTGAAAAATTCATACAAATTTAATACATCAAAATTCTTTTTTTTTTTTTTTTACTTGAAGGAACTTACTTCTGTAATCCAGTTGGATGTGCAAATTTGAAAGTGGTCGTTTGACAAACATCTGAAAATAAAATTTGTGTTCATTCTCTCAAAATTCGATTTTTAGTTACTTTAAGCTAGTTGTTTCCTAAATCAAAAGTATTTAGAAAGGTACGAAATTTTCGGCAAAACTAATCTAAGCGTCGAGAAATATGTGTAAAAAATTTGAGACCGATTAACCACGTCGTTATTATAATATCCTCGTCAAAAAATCACTCTTTTAATATTACAGCAATGGTACAAACACTACATAGTCCCATTATTTAAAAAATTGTAACTTACCGCCTATTTATAAATAATTGAAAAACTACTGAAAACTATCTTAGGCAGTAAAGAAACACATTAATTTTTTTGAGAATTTTTTACCACATAGTTTTAAAGTAATAGTAATCAAATTAGTGCTCTTCGTTTGATTTTGGAAGATACACTGTAAAAAAAAGTCTTATGTATATGTACCACATTGTTCATAAAATTACAGTGTCCGAAATTGTCAAAATACCAACCATTGCAATTATACTACGTTGCACGTAGGTCTTTTTATTACCAACGCCCGTCATAGTAAATTTACTAAGTTCATCATTATAAATTTACTACTTGTATTGTTCAGTTTTATAAATCTCGTAGTAACATTACCATGTTGACTGTAAAGTTTATGTAGGATTTTATATTTACGAAACGATTATTTACAACTTCAATACAGAAAATAAACATGTATAAATTGTTTCTTTATACTCGTCTGAAACTTCATTAATAGAAATAACAGTCATGTTCACACTATTTGTTGTTTGAGTATTAAGTATCTTGCAAAAGTAAAATACTCCATCATGGCAGGCATTACAATTACTGTAGTAAATTTACTATTCTTGTTGTAAATATATCAAGTCCAGAGTAGGTCTTTTTATTTTCAATGTCCGTCGCAGTATTTATAATATTGATAGTTTTTACAGTATAACCAAGAGTATCACGTAAGGGGCAACACCACATTGTCACATGAGTACAAGTTACAAATAGATAGATGCAGATGTTTATGTACCTACGTACGGAAAGGCATTCACATTTCTCTCTGATATTTTAAATTCGTCATGTTAACCCACAAGTGACGCATTTAGCGTATTTCAGTAGAACTAAAACCTGACACTATTTTGAAGTTTAGAATTAAGTGGTGCCAGGGAAATCGTAATCATAATCGTGCCAAGCAGACGACATACAGAAAATAAACAATCAGTAAATTTACACCGAAGAAGCAATATTTTTATTGCAATGTACCGAATACCAAATTGCTCGTATACGTGTTTTACATGATCTTTAGCTTTTTTCCCCCATTTTGGTGTTGTGTCAGTGGAAATCGCATTAACTTCTCGTGCCTATGTTGGTAAAAATGTCATGAGAAATTTTTCTTATTGTTTGCTTTCATTTTAATAATCTCTAAATGTACTTTGTTGAATATACAAGTTCACCTATTACATATACTTACACTTGCTCAGCCTTACAACTACATGTACAATCCAATCGTTTATCGTTTTTCCTCTGAGTGATGGCGATATCAAGTTCATAGGGGGTACCGAACAAGCCTCATATATCAATAAAACGAATTAAATAAGTCATGTGTATTATTTTACCAGGTGACATGTAAACTATGATACCTGTCATGTTTTAGATTGACCAAAAATCCGCTAGATGCACCATTTGTGGGTTAACATAACGAAAATGAATACGGGACGATATTTGAACATAACCTTATTATTGTATATTTGTGGCGACTCAGCTATAGGGACTCCCCCCTACCACATAGCTCAGTGTAGGCTAGAATCACGAGTCTAGCAGAGGAGAAAGAGAGAGTGGGATACACACTTGTAGTCAGTCTAACTGCGCCTACCGACTTGAACAGTCGCACCACAGTCCAATAAACGAGAGTACAGTACACGCAATAACGTCTATTTCTTTTGCCCAGGTTATCTCTCCCTTCCTCTCGAGCACGCTTGCCCTACACAGCAGACACGCCTGGCACCATCTGGCAGGCGCAAGCAACAGCTCATTCTTCGCGAGCTCTACTAACTCGACATCTGCAGCGGATGCGCACGCAGCGCGCACAGCGTTCTCTCTCTTCCACTCGCGGGCCGAAGGCCGCCTCAGCTGTGGCGCGGCGCAGGCCGAAGGAGAAGTGCGCACGGCCATTAGAGTTTCCTCTCCGTCTGCTCAAGACGCACGAAACGCTGCCGAGACCAAGAAGCCGCATGGCTGACTTAAGCAGCCATGCGAGCCGGCATACAGACTTTGCAAATCCTTTTCCATCACAATTTACTTTATATTATTTTGTACTTAGATTAGTTGTTCCGTGATATTAAAGAGTTCATGAACATTAAACTGTTAGTATTTTCTCTGCACGCACTTTCCCTTTGGCGGCAACGCCGAACCATCGCAACAAGATCCAAATATTTATACATACGATTAACCTATACATTGGGAAACAACTACCTTAAATGTTACGGTAAATATGTCTTTTTTGATCACAAATCTTCAGAGATTCGGAACATCTTCAACTGTTTCGGGTAATGAAAATCTATAGTCTTTACTTTCAGTATGCTCGAGTTGATCACGTACTTTCTTAGCCCCATTATCAGTAACTGAAGAGGCATATTTTCTCTTTCTTGTTTGCTTCATGGATATTAGCTCTTCGGGGTTGACTTCCTTGATGATCGTTTTAGTGAGTAAACTGCGTATTACACGCCTACCTTCAGGCACACTCGCGATTGAATCGACACTATTCGCTCTGCGACCTCGACCTGTCGTATTCCTTTTTTCCGCTTTACTCTTTGACTTTACAGTTCTTGTATCGATTAAAATTTTTTCGATGTCTCCCGGTTCTGACTGGACAGAGCACTTACGCCTGCGAATTGTGGGCTCTGAACTAGAGGGTCTCGTAGTCTGGATTGCTCGTATAATTTCTGCCCTGGCTGGTGGGTTACTCAAATTGGTGATATTGTTACTGGTTTCCTTTGCCAGTGACGAGGCTCGCGTCTTCCTCAAACATCGTTTATTATCTTCTTTTGCTGTGAGTGTAGCCTGATCATTTTCCTGGACTACCGAACCTGCTCTTTTTTTTCTCGTGGTGGTTGATTGTTGTTCATTTTTCGATACGGCCCTGGCTCTGGTTGGTCTTATTTTTGACAATCCTTTTTTACCGTTGTCTACAGACTCAGCTATTCTACTTCGAGTGTGAGACATTAGGAGATCATCGTTGGCAGGTACTGATTCAGTAGATGTGATTTGTTCGTCACCCTTGGATATCATTGGATACATTGTTTTTTTCGGTCTGTAATAATTTCGGACTTTTGTTCCCAAGCCTTAGAATCAAAGCTAGTAGAGATGCTTCTAATTGGAGGTCGAGGAGACGCTTTTTTCGGTGGTTCCAAAATGGCCTGATGTGTTCCACTTACATTAGATTCGGGTAACATCTCCAGTTCCTCTGATACGAATTTAAATAAATAATTTTGTAATGGGTTTGCATATTCTTCTTCAATGCTTTGGTGCTGTTCGGATTCTTCTATCCTTGATCTCGATCGTACGTTTTCGGCTTGTATCGTTCCTTTACCAGATGTATTAGAATTCAAAAAACTCAGGACAAGATCATCTTTACGTGGTACTCCAGTTTCTGGCATCATTTCTACAATAAACTGGGACACACTTTCTTGCCCATCTTTCGACTCATCGTCGGTTATTTCGTATTCTTGAAAGCCAGCGATACCCTGGCTATTAATAAAAGTTGGTTTTGTCTGACTAAAACCAATACTGTCGTTCACTTTAACTGGAACGGATGTTTTTTTTGCATGTTCCACTATTGTTTCTATTTCCTCTGGCAATGATGTACATTGCTTTTTTCGGTCTGTAATAATTTCGGACTTTTCTTCCCAAGCCTTAGAATCAAAGCTAGTAGAGATGCTTCTAATTGGAGGTCGAGGAGACGCTTTTTTCGGTGGTTCCAAAATGGCCTGATGTGTTCCACTTACATTAGATTCGGGTAACATCTCCAGTTCCTCCGATACGAATTTATATAAATAATTTTTCAATGGGTTTGCATATTCTTCTTTAATGCTTTGGTGCTGACTGGATTCTTCTATGCTTGATCTCGATTGCAAGTTTTCGGCTTGTTTCGTTCTTTCACCAAAAGTATGAGAATTTAAAAAACTCAGGACAAGATCATATTTCTGTGCTACTCCAGTTTTTGACATCATTTCTTCAACAAACTGGGACACACTTTCTTGCCCATCTTTCGACTCATCGTCGGTTATTTCGTATTCTTGAAAGCCAGTGATACCCTGGCTATTAATAAAAGTTGGTTTTTTGTGACTAAAACCAATAGTGTCGTTCACTGTAACTGGACTCAAATTTTCAGTTAAGCACTTTTCATTAAAATAATGATCTGTTTGTTGTTCTTTGCTGTGGATTATCACCAGGCTATCTCTCAGCTGAGCGCGATTGTCTTTATTTTCATCTTTCTCAGTGAAGGAACTTGAAAAACTGTGAAACAATTCTTCATCGAAATTCTCTTTGCTGTCATCCAGCTCTTTTTCCAAATTTTCTAGCTGCTGATTGTCTTTGTGTGCATCCGTATTGAAGAATGTATTTGAAGAACTCAGTTTTTTATAGTCCTCCTGTAGACCACCCTCTACATTATAGTCTTCTTGACATTTTTCTTCTTCTTCTTGATCCATATCTAAAAAACATTCTTCATCAAACTCATTTTCAGTATACTTCGTGTTAACTTGTGTATCTTCTTTAGACTGTTCTACTGATTTTTCACTTTCACTTTTGTCATGTTCAACATTGTGCAACGTAGATAGTACTTTTAATTGTGAAGTTTCCATGCTCGTATCAGAAGAAAGAATCGAAGATATATAAAAAGATTTGGATTTACGAGTCAGTAAAGCGGGCGACATTTTTTTACCCACTTGAGAAGTTTCCTACAAGAAAAAAAAAAAAAAAAAAAAAAAAAAAAAAAAAAAAAAAAAAAAAAAA